TCTATAGGGACCGGCTCTTTGAAGTCTCCTCAGATGATTCATGCTTGCTTTGCAAATGTTTACGTACAGATCTTGTTTTAACCACAGAAGACATTTAGGGCTACAGCTCAGTGATAGAGCAACCTAAGCTGACAGGATTCATTAGGCCCCTCCTTCCCGAGATTAAACATATAGACAGCCAAGAGTCATTCCCAGGTGACTAGACCAGCTGCCTGGGAGAGGCTTAGACCAACTGAGGCACCTGGAAAGGACACTCCCCAACCTGTTGAGCTGCCTGCAGGCTGCGCAGTGTGCTCCAGGGTCCCAGCTTTTGTGAGCTGGGGTGCACTTTGGTGATGCAACTGTTTGGAGTCATTTCTGCTCCTGTAAGTAACCCCTCAACCTGTGAGTAACTTTGGTCTGTCATGGGCTCCTTATCTGGGGCCAATAGACGGTGAATCTATTCACTCTATCTATCTATCTATCTATCTATCTATCTATCTATCTATCTATCTATGAATAGGGGTGAATTTCACCATCACCAGGAAAAGGCTTGTCACACAATAAACAAGGCTAGAAAGATGGTTCAGTGAGGAAATTGTTGCCAAGACCAAATGACCTGAGTTTGATCCCTGGGGACTCACCGTGAGGGAAAAGAAAGAACCAACTGTAGCAAGTTGTCATGTACACACACACACTCACAAATGTTTACTTGTAGTTTCCAGATAAACCACAGAATATATTGTCTTGTATACTTACCACTTTAGATGAGATTCCCTAAAGGGTCGGGAAGAGCCCATCAAAAAATGTCTTTCTCTCTAGAGCTGTGGTTCTCAACCGTCTAATGCTGCGACCCTTCAGTACACGTCACCATGTTGTAGTGACCCCAGCCACAAAATTATTTCATTGCTACTTCATAACTGTCATTTTTTTGCTACTGTTATGAATTGTAATGTAAATATTTTTGGAGATAGAGGTTTGCCAAAGGGGTCAAGACCTACAAGTCAAGAACTGCTGCTTTAAAATCAAGGACTGTAGCTGGAGAAAGCAGCCAAAAGAGATGAGAAAGTCCATTCCCTCCCTTTCTGTGTCCGTATGTCTGGGGTTGAGTGCCCGGGTCCTTCTGCAGCTACCCAGCACCCTGGGCCCGATGTTCCGTAAATGCTCACTGCTGTCACTAGGCCATTCTGCCCTTTCCCAAAGCCTGTCCCTGTGCGCCGTGCTCCACAATGATCGAAGCCTTCCTAATGAACGCTACAGAACAAATGGTTGGGTCTTTCTGAAAATAATTTTTAAAAACGTATGTATTGGAGAGGGATGCATGTGCCACAGCATGCATGTGGAGGTCAAAGGTCAGAGAACCATTCGCAGGGGTCAGTTCTCTCCTTCCGACACGCACATCCCAGGGATTGGACTCCGGCCATTAGGGTTGACCAAAGCCTTCACCCTTTGAGCCATCTCACCAGTCCCGCCTGAGAGTCCTCTGAGGTCACAGATATGCTTCTTCTTCAAAAGCAATTGCTTTCTGGCGCCATTTGTTTTTAATCAGTAGAATGGCTGTGGAGAATAGCTGGCACCCGTGAGAAGCCGGAGCCCATCATCAGACATTCTCGGTCGCTCTCCACCTTATCGTCTGAGACTGGGTCTTTCACTAAACTGGCAGCGCACTGATTTGGCTAAACTGACTGGCTAGCAAGCCCCAGCGCCCTTCCCCAGTGCTAGGACAGGCCTCTGTAACTAGCATTAAAAAAAATAACTAAAATGCTGAGGAGAGACACAGAAAATTGAGTCCAGCACCCAAACTGCTCTTCCTGATGGTAGCCTTCTCCTACCTTCCCTACCCCCCACGCACGCAGGCGCTCAGTCAATGCTTTCCCAGATAGGGTCTATTTAATGTTAATTACTTGCATCTGCATACCCGCCTGTCTGGATGTGCTTTCCATAAAAGGGCATCAGATCTCCAGGATCTGGAATTACAGATTGATGTAAACTGCCCTATGTGGGTGCTGGGAATCAAGCCTGGGTCTCCTGCAAGAGCAACAAGCACTCCTAACCGGTAAGCAATCTCTCCAGCCCCACAAGATGGAATCTTGAGCCTGTCTGTCCATAGGCTATATATAAACTGGTTATAAACTCAAAGCTGCTAAAACAAACAAACAAAAACAAAACAAAGCATAGGCAAATTGACTCAAGTCATTCCAGAGTCCTTGGGTAACCTGGATGGGAAATACCTCCACTAGTGACTGAGTTGAAAGATTATACCCCTTATCAGTAAGGGGACCAGACATTGGGTTCCACCAGTATTTGTGGAAGCACTTTCCACCAAACGTTGCCTTTTCTTGTTTGAAGTGGATCAATGTTTCAGAGAGTTAATGACCAAAGCACCTTACCAACTTGATGATACAGCGCTCATCAGTATGCTTAAAAAGTTGCTAATATCATGGGGTTTTTTTTATAATAAAAATGTATACTGTGCAAAAAAAATGCATATTCGTTAAAAATATGTTCACCTCTGATTTCTGCCTAATTATATTAGTTAGCATCCTTGACGTTTGCAGAGAACTGCAGACATACAGCCTTTTGTTAATATGGAAGTAATAGCCACTTTAGACTCTCAAGAGCCATAACCTCAAAATTTCAAGAAATAGACAAAAGAGCACACGCTTCAAATCTCTGAGGATTGGGACAGGAAATGCTGAGGCCATGCACAAAGAAATGGCTGTATGCCGTTTAAACAATCAGCTTGCTAAAAGAGTTTAACACGAGTGAAATTAAAATTGCTAAACATCATTTAACGATAAACAATTTAGGGTTGGAATATGTGTACATTTTGTTTTATTTTATTTTTGAGACAATCTTGCTCTGTAGCCCAGGCTGACTCAGTTCTCACTAAGTAGTACAGGCTAGCCTTAAATTCTAAATCTTCATGCCTCAGTCTAGCCTTCTAAATGCTGGGATTACAGGCCCCTATACCTGGCTACATTCTCACAAATTTTCCTTGGGGTGTGTGTGTGTGTGTGTGTGTGTGTGTGTGTGTGTGTTGTTTGTTTTGACTTTGGTTTTGATTTTTAGTTTTTGTTTTTTCAACACAGGGTGTCCTGGAACTCCCTTTGTAGACCAGGCTGGCCTCTAGATCATAGAGATCTGTCTGCCTCTGTCTCCCGAGTGCTGGGCTTGAGGTCTCTTTCTTTAACTGGAGGGGGGGGGTGCTTTAGAGACTCCACCATCACCAGTGTTAGTTTAATTGTCCAGTGCCCCTCAGGAGCTCTCTCACCACACATCACTGGTCCTGCACTGCTGAAGGGGTCAGGGGCCTGCAGCCCAGCTAGGATCAGCACAGGCAAGATCTTTCTGGCTCTGTAGGTTAGGGGAAGGGTACAGCTTCCTAAGCCTGGAAAGAAACAGGTGCTTGACAATAGTGTTGAGGAAAGGCAGCCTGTATGCTGTGTTGCCATACAGGAAGTCAATGGATTAAAAAAAGAAAATTATTTTCAGTTGCGGACAGTAGAAAAACAGTGCTATAGCTGCTCGACAGGTGTTCAGAAACAGTGACATAAGGATAATCCCAGTGACTGATAATATATGAATATTGACTTCACGAAGGGGTGTGTGTGCACGTATGAAGAGGTTAAGCATTTTGCTCTGTACTCTGCAGTGAAGAATCAAAGCCCTGAACTACCATTGATGCCTTATTAACAAGCAGCAGATGAAAGGGAGACCTCTCTACAACAGTCTTCCAATACGGGATCCACAATAACTTTTGATTTTTTTAAGATAGACATGTTCTTTCAATAGAATTTCTTCCTTTCTTTCCTTCCTTCTTTTTTTTTTTTTTTTTTTTTTTTTTTTTTGGTTTTTCGAGACAGGGTTTCTCTGTGGCTTTGGAGGCTGTCCTGGAACTCACTTTGTAGACCAGGCTGGCCTCGAACTCACAGAGATCCGCCTGCCTCTGGCTCCCGAGTGCTGGGATTAAAGGCATGCGCCACCAACGCCCGGCCTTTCTTTCTTTCATTCTTTGCTTTTTCTTTTTTGGTAAAGACAGAGTCTCATGTAGCACAGATTGGTCTCAAACTCACCATGTAGCCAAAGCTAACTGGGAACTCGTGCCCCTCCTGCCCCTACTCCCTGAGTGCTGGCATTGTGGGCACTCCATACGACACTGAGAATAGAATCCAGGGCCAGACTAGGCAGGCTGTCTACAACTGAGCTATATGTCCAGCTCATGCTAAGAAAAACTTTCTGATGGTGATGTCCTATAGATGTATCTAATACACAAGACTTCAGGCTAGTTGCTTTTGTTGGCCTGTGATAAGTTCTGTGTGCATGGATAACTTCAGTGACCTGCTTTTCCTAGCTCTGCACAGGTTATTCCCAAGATTCACCAGTGCTGTTGACCACAGCCACTCTAGGATTGGTTGGTTCATGGCTAATCAAACTTGGGAAAGCAATTCAAATCAATTGCACATTCGTTACTTGCTCTCTTTTGACTAGCTGTCATGGTAATGAAGCCTTTGTTGTTCCAACTGTACCAATGGAAAAAAAAAAAAGAACTTCCATAAGCAACATTAAGTTGTTATAGAAATAGGCATACTCTTCTGTGTAAATGACTCACTGGATGTGCACAGATCATGTGTATGGATGTTCCTGCCCACCTGTTGGAATGTGTGTATCTAGGTACTTGTAAGGAAATTTAGTAACTGGCTTAGTAAGGTAACTAAAATATTGAATACGTAATGTCTTAGTACCTGAAAGCTACATGTTATTTTAGTTTAGTTTAATATTACCCATGGTGATTCTCTTGCCTCAGCTTCTGAGAGAGCTGGGATTAGAAAGTGAGCCACCACACCGGATGTGGTGGGATAAAACACTCCCTGTCTATCCCCAGGAAGCACTCACTATCACCCCACCCCACCCCAAATAGGTCTTCAGTGTCTCCTGAAAACTACTAAATGTGTAAGTTTAAAGCACACTCACAGTAACTGTATTTTACAAAAATCTATATTTTAATGTGTACACAGTTAAAAAAATACAGAGCGCTCATGTCCAAGTACTGTACCGGGCCCTCCCCCCTGAAAATAAAAGTCTGACTCTACCTGATCCATGCACACAATATACGGAGCATAAATGCATTTACACGACAAGGTAGCTGCTCTGAACATACACAAGACACCTAATATAACTCCCCCCGGTCATAACAAACTTGCAGAGTTTAAGAAGGTAGCGCTTTGTCCGATGACTCAGTACCAGCCCAATGCAATCCAATTCTGATCAATAGAGGAATTCTTCTCCTTGAGACAGGGTCCCGTTTATTTTCCTCTCCCTCCCAAATGATGTTAGGATTACAGGCACGATCAACCAACCTCTGCCTGTGAGGTGCTGGGGCTCGAGCCCACAGCTTTGTGCATGCTAGACAAACACTCTACCAACTCTATAGACAGACGCCAGGACCATGTCTTAAGCTAAAAGTGGTAGGGCATTATTTTCTTTTTTGGGGGGGGGCATTATTTTCTTAGCAGCCCAAAGTCATGAAATCTAGAAAAAAAAATGGAGGAAGGAGAGCAATGAAACCATTTCATCCACGGGTTCAAAGGCAATGGAATTAACCGGAAAGGGGGCTGATTTTCTCTCTAAGACTAGCAGGCCACCCTAAAAAACGTGCGGCTTAGCTGGCCATGGGGAAGGGCTCCGGCTGGAAGCCGAAGAGCCTCTGGCCGTAGGGCTCAGACTCTGCCTGCAGCCTGGCACCCGGGAAGGGGAGGTAGGGGTGGTCTCGACCCCGCTGCTCGCAGCGCAGCCCCACCCAGTCCCGCTCGGCCTCAGCTAGGATGCGCGTGAGGGCCACGATGTAGCTGAGCGCCATCTGGAGGGTCTCGTACTTGGACAGCTTCTTGTCCTGGCCCCACTGCGGCACCACCCTGCGCAGTCGGTCGAAGGCCGTGTTCAGCCCTTGCATGCGGCGCCGCTCGCGTGCGTTGGCCGCCAGGCGCCTGCGCGCCGCGCTCTCCAGGCGCCCGGGCACCGTGCACGAGACCGCTGCGCGCTCGGCGGCACCCGCACACGGAGGCGCGCCGCGCGCTCCCGCCGGAGAGCCGTGGGGTTTGCAGGCCGACTTCATCCACGCTGCCGATCGGCGTGGCTCCCGGGAGTGAATAAGTCACAGACAGACGGGGTGAATCACGTTCAGTCAGTCAGTGGACAGTGGACAGTGGGGGAACACTGGCTTCTGTCCTGCTGGGTAGCCAGGCTGATGTCTCTTCCCTTGCCCAGATGCTCAGGGATGCTCAGGGAAAAGTCATTTTCCCCACAGCCACGTGAAGCTGAAAGAGGAGGAAACTTCCTTGCAGTTTGCTTCGGGTGGTTCTGCGGGTGAGGGGAAGAAGGTCTTTCCAATTCTCTGGGAAAGCCTGAGACTGCTTTTCGGGGTGATGAAATCTTCGCAGAAACTCAGCTAGGTCAAGGACCGCTCGTAGTAGATGTCTAGATGGTGGAGAGCGCTGGCTGAAGCGGTGAGGGAGGAGAATTTATAGCGCAGGGCTCAAGAAGGAACAGGTGGCGGCAGGTGGGCGGGCGTCCCTCGGCTTCCATCTCAGCACCTTCCTACCCTGGGAACGGCAGGGGGGAGGAGGGGGGACGCACAGCAAAATCCTGACATTACTGCCTTCGTCTGTTGAAGTTTCTCCAAAGCAATGTCCAACACTAACACACCATCTGGAGTGGCCTGGCCTGGCTGTCCCCAATAGAATAGCAAGGTGGGGGTGGAGGGTGAGCGTGGTCCATCTTTTCCCATTCCAGCGGGCAGCTTACATATCAAAAACAAAGCCCAGGTTTCTAAATGGTTAAGTAGAAATCATTGGAGTAAAGATGTTGATTTTGACGTTGTTTGGTGTATCTGAAGTCTAGCAAAGTTCTGCTTTACTGAGAAGTGGCAATTTTACATTCTAAAATAATAACACTTTCACTTAATTGACTTAATTCAGACAAATTGGGAAGTCCTAATGTTATTGCAGATCTGGAATGGGACTCTGCAAATAATTTCCATGAAACAACTTCAATGTAGCCAAAGACATAAATGTGTCTATTTTCAACTTGATACTATTCTAATTATGTGAATGAGTTTCACAGATTCGAAGACCTTGGCAGGTTAATTCAGCATCTCTATTTCATTTCCTTGCTCATTAATGTTTTCTGGGCACACTCTGAAATAACCAGTCTCTTCATTATTTAGCACTTAAATGCAGTAAAATATCTTCATATGCATGTATGTGCAAAATGAAAACATCTAAACAATTTGGAATATCAGTGTCCTAGTATGTCATCTGTCTTAAAGAACAGTAACAAAACATGATTCCCACCACTGGTAATTAATTCGATTCACACAGAGAAAGCTTTAATTTTCTTTATCTCATCTCAGCTTGTTTCAAAGGAATTGCGAAGCAAAGAAACAGGCTCCAAATAGTTTCAATCCAGCAAACCCTTCTGGATATTTAAGAAAGGGCCTAATAAGCTCCCTCTCTCCTTTGGAAACATGGGCATGTCAGCAATACCCTCAGATATTTTTGTTGGCTTAAATCATCTACATCATACGAACCGAGAGCCGTTTAGCGTGCGGTTGTTTCTCCTCCAGCACCTCAGACTACAACCCAGCACCATCGCCCGGACTTCAAGCCGGGCCCTCCCATGAATAGTTTATTAATCCCCAGCTGAACCCTGACAGCAGAATGAAGACAATGGGATGCAATTGGACATTAATAAGCTTTAGAGTGACAGATGTTGGACACAGACTTTTGTACAGAGCCACTCGGCCCTGTCACTCTTGAGTCCTAACAGTCACGTTGGGAACAGCAGTTCTGTGATGGGAACAATTGCTTGTGTTAGTCTTCAAAATGTCAAATTATGCTTTTTAAGGTTTTTCACAGAAATCTGCTTTATTAGTGCCATTATTCCTCACACTCTTCTAGCTCCCCTTCTCCCCTGAAGAGTCGCCTCTGTGATGCACCGTGGATTATCTCCCTGCAAAACAGTGCATTTGCACCTTCTACCCATTATTGTCTAAAGTAGCAATAAGATGTGTGGCTTTGCAAATGGGGTTTCCAGGGTAGGTGAGTGAGCTTTGAATTGCAACCCTAGTGTCTAGGACAAGGCCCAGAAAATACTAAGGACTCAGTAATGACCCAGAAGGAGTGACTGGGGCAATACATTAGGTAAACTGATCTAGTAATAAGTACATTTCTAGTGAATAACCCATAGGATGATTTGCAGCCCTCCTCCTCCCACATAGAGAGACAGAGACATACACATAGGATGGGGTGCATACAGAGAAGAGACAGACAGACGGACAGACACCCAGACACACAGACACACACCTGCGGGGAACACACGCTATCTCTGAATTTTGCATTTTTTTAAATACAGTGTGTGTGTGTGTGTGTGTGTGTGTGTGTGTGTGTGTGTAACAGCCTTGGCTGTCCTGGAACTTGCTCTGTAGACCAGGCTAACCTCGAGCTCACAGAGATCCATCTGCTTCTGCCTCCTGAGTGCTAGGATTAAGATGTGCACCACCATACCCAGCTATCACTGTCTTCTCTCCTGCCTGATGAGGCTGCTAGCCAAGTGCTTTGAACCTGTTGTGGCTCAGAAGGCTGATTTATTATCTTTGTATTTTAGGTGAGGGACACCTTCAGTCCCAGCACTTAGGAAGCAAAGGTAGGAGGATCTCTGTGATTTTCCAGGCTAGCCAGGGCTACATAGTGAGACCCTGTCCTGATTTTTTAAATTTTTATTTTGTTTTTAATTACTCTGTGTGTGTGTGTGTGAGTGTGTGTGTGCATGCAGGTGTAGGTGTAAGTGTCCATGCCCGTGAAGAAGCTGGAGGAGGACATCTGAGCCCTGCTCTTGTACAGGACTGTCCTCATAGCCACCATCTGCAGGAGTTCAGCCAGGCCTGCTCAACACAGAGCATCACTACTGGGTTTATTGGCAGTTGGTGTTCCCTCTCAGAAGGGGGAGCCAGGGGGGCCATGGAACCCTTACCTGAGTATTCAACTCCCCCTTCCAACCGGTTATAATTGCAATTCTACCCTCATCGAATGAGACCTCAAGGTCTTTGGGAGGAGCTCGAGTGGATAAGTTGGGTAGGACTAGGGGAGGGACTCCATCTACACAGCCATGGAGAGTCATTGTCCCTGCTGGGTTCAGACTTTCCAGTGGGGTTGCTCTAAGGTCACCCACACTCCTGCCCATACACTCTCACCCATTGCTCTGTGAGCCTAATAAAGTCATTGGTTCACCAGGGTGAACTGTGGTGGAATCATTCCTTGATTTGTCTTCGGGGTCATAGGAGGAAGAGAGGGTAGGTGGTGTTTACATCTCCCCCAGGAGTAATCTTGAGCAACACTGGCTGTTTTAATTAGGGTTTCTATTGTTGAAAAGAGACACCATGACCACATCAACGCTTACAGAGGAAAACATTTAATTGGGGTGGCTCGATTACAGTTGACAGGTTCAGTCCATTATCATCATGGTGGGACATGGCAGCATGCAGGCAGACGTGGAGCTGATGACAGTTGAGAGTCCTACATTTTATAAGCAACCGGAAGTCAACTGGGCAGTATCCTGCCTACAGGAAACCTGAAAGCCCGCCTCCACAGTGACACACTTCCTCCAACAAGCCACTCCAGTAAAGCCACTCCTCCTAATAATGCCATCCCCTGTGAGATTATGGTGGCCAATCACATTCAAACTACCCACACCAGCTCTGTCACTCTCCTCTGTGTTCCTTTGAGGCTAGGTCTCTCCCTGATCTTTGAGCTAGGCGGGCAGCCAGCAAACCCCAGACAGTGCCCCTGTCTCTGCCTACAACAGACCTGGGGCTGCCAACACATGCAGCCACACCGTGTGTGTGCTGGGGCTTTGAGCTCAGGTGCTCAATGCTTGTGCTTATGTATGGAACCATCTCCCCAGGGAGTTATACCATGCTGTGCTGATTTCCCAGTACCTGGCCCCTCCAGGCTTCTATACCAGACTAAATTACATGGCGTAAAACCTTCAGCATCCCCTGAAAGTACAGAAAAGCCAGATAGTTGCCTTCATCTGGAGGACTCATCTGTCTCTCCTCTGGACTCCCTGCCATCCTCCTATCTGTAACAGCTGTCTCTCTTACTCTTTTGTTTTGTTTTGTTTTGTTTTTGAGACAGGGTTTTTCTGTGTAGCCCTGGCTTTTCTTGGAACTTACTTAGTAGACCTGACTGACTTAAAACTCAGAGATCTACCTGTCTCTGCCTCCCTAGTGCTGGGATTGGCTGAATTAACCTTTGAATGGCTTTCTTTTACTATTTCAGCTATTGGGTTTTTTGTTTGTTTGTTTTTTGGGTTTTTTTTGTTTTGTTTTGTTTGTTTGTCCCCCCTGTTGGCATTTCGGGCGGATCAGGATGGGACAGGAGTAGGGATGGGTCAGGTATTCTGGCACTCGGGAGCCACAGAATACTGAGTGTTACACAGCTCAGATGGAAAGGTATCCTGGAGCTCGGGAGCAAAGGACCACCACAGGTTGTAGTAAGCTTAACAGTTTACAGCCTTGCCTCAGGGAAAGGCTTCCCAGTGTTCGGCTCTGCTCCTGCATATGGCCTCTGCTCCAGCAGGACAGGGTCTTCCAGCTGGGGATGTTCCCCCAGTGTAGCAGTTTTGCTCGGCAGAAGGTTTCTCCCGCGAAGTTGCTACAGTTCAGCTCTGCTCCCAGAGAGAGGAGAACAGAGAGCAGAGAGCTGAGCTCTGCCAAGGGAAGGTTTCCCAAGCAAGTGTTATAGCCCTGCTCGCTCTGCTCTGCCCAGGGTCGCCTCTGCTCCATCACTGCAAAAGAAGATCTTCACCCAAAGCTCATCCAAGGGGTTTATTGGGAGGGAAGGATCCAGGAGAGTGGCTGCCCTACGCCAGAGTGACAGAGGACAGCCGGGTAGCTGGAACAGACACAAACTGAACAGACACGGGGTTTATATAGGGCTTCCAGGGTGGGGATTGGTCAGAGTTTAGTGCTGAGCTCAGATTGGCTAGAGCTCTGCTCGAGGATTGGTTAGTTTTCTGCACAGGGTTAGGGTCAGATTTGGCTCTGGTTTCAGGGCCAAAGTGTGTTTCTTTCTCTGGTCCTTTTTAGCCTTTTGGCTCCAATTTTAGGGCCAGGGTGCATTTCTTCCACTGACTCTGATTCCAGGGAAAAGTGTGTTCCTTTGGCACTGGTCTCAGGGTCAGGATACATTTCTTTGGTTCTGGTTGCAGGGCCAAAGTGTGTTTCTTTGGCTCTGCTCAGGGTGTGTTTCTTTGACTGGTTCCTTTTTCCTACAACCCTCCCCCCCATACAGGGTTTCTCTGTGGCTTTGGAGGCTGGCCTAGAACTAGCTCTTTTAGACCAGGCTGATCTCAAACTCACAGAGATCCACCTGTCTCTGCCTCTTGAGTGCTGGGATTAAAGGCATGT